TATTTCTAAGCTAAAATCAGCCTTATTTTTTATTTTCATTTGCAAGTACATCCGTGTTTATTGTTTTAAATAATAATTGGCTTTACTTAATGTTTATTAATTATTTTTCGTTTTATCATTACAGGTACCATTATAACGAAGTTTATGATAGAATTCAACAAAATGGATATGTAAGAAATTAAATAGCCTGGTTTTTGTTTTCAATATTTTTCCGTTTTTTTTGTTTTTTTTTTTGTTTACTAGATGCAGTTTTGCATTTTGTGTGAAAACTGCTGAACAGAAATTTTGATTTCTTTTATTTTATAGTGAAAATGACTAGTGAGAAACAATTGACATTTCGAAATCTAAAAGCGAAGAAAAATAATATGTATTGGTGTATCACCTTGGCGTTAAATTTAAGAGGTATTTAGGAGAACAGAGAGAAATTATAGTCTCGTATATGTAGAGCGCGCGTACGTAACAGGCTTTTGATGAATGTATCAATTCATTCTCTTGAACACAATGTTAATAACTCTTGTAAGATCGTATAAATTGCTGACAAAGCTTCCCACGTATTCTGAAGGAATTTGATGGTTAAATGATACAAATTAAATAATTAATTGTGACAGAAAACCATCAAATTATAGGAAAAATTTATTATCGATAAATCTCTATATGTTAATCGTGGCAGATTGGGTATCACCATATTTTTCTTTCTAATAAGATTCACTTTCTCTTATTTCTTATAATTATTTCTAAGTATTATCGATATTAGTAATATTTTATATATATATATATATATATATATATATATATATATATATATATGTATGTATGTATGTATATATATATATATATATATATATATATATATATACTTAGATTTAATATTTGTTGTGCAGGCTCTACTCAAATTTTATATATATATATGCGTATTTGATTATTTCGTAGCTCAGATTTCTAGAAAACAAATTTTTGAAAATTTCCGAAACCATAAATCAACAAAATTGTTTGGTATATTCTTTGAGAAACATGTTATGTTAATGTAACAAATGGTGTAATTATTCGCTTTAATTCATATACACGTAGTATTTTGAGAATAATTTATTTGACCTTAGAAGTTTAATCAATAACGATCCAATTGCAGTAAAATCACTACTGCAATGTATTAAAATATCTGGAGTATTATATTGAGTATTTTTCTTTTTTTTTTTTTTTTTTTTTTTTTTTTTTTTTTTTTTTTTTTTTTTTTTTCTTTTCTTTTTGTTAGTATAATAAGACAGACACATATACACAGTACTTATAACCAAATTCGAAAATTTCAATATAGAATGATCATCAAAACCAAATATTTTGTTTTAAGTGAAGATAATAACAAATTAGAGAGACATATATTAAAGTTCAATAATTCAGATTATTTTTTTTTTTTTCTTAATTATCATAGAGGTACTGCGACTTTGTAATTGTTGTTATTATAATTTATAATTTTTATTATATCTAGGTAGTACATGTATATATATATATATACACATACATACTATAGTATATATATATATATGTTGCAAGTTTTATTAATTTTTAATCATATTAGAATATAAGCAATATTATATATATCTGGTAATTCCCAATCGATTAACTTTGGAGAGTTCTTGCTAATAAATGTGTTCTTTAGTGTTGACTTGATAACAGACAAAGTTGAAAATGAAAAAAAAAAAAAAATACAAAAAAATACAAAAAAAATGTAAAATATTAAAAAATCATAAAAAATGTTCATAGCTTAGTAGAAATATATATATATAGAGAGAGAGAGAGAGAAAGAGAGAGAGAAAAGAGAGAAAAGAGAGAAAAGAGAGAAAAAAAGAGGTAAGTGAAGAATGACGGATTATTATGTGTTAAATTCATTCAAAGTAATCAAGAGAATCTACTAAAAGATTTTAAATTGGAAGAACAAGTCTATATACGTTTTATTCCGTCAGTTAGTATTATATATTCATACACACTTGACCACCTAAAAAGTATATGTATGCTACATTTATTATTCATACATGAAAAATGATTGCTAAATAAAAATTGAATAAAACACATTATGTCGTTATTTCAGTCGAGAAAAATAATTTTTACTTATCTCGTAAATTTTGTTGGAAAAAAAAAAAAAAAAAAAAAAAAAAAAAAAAAAAAAAAAAAAAAAAATTATATATATGTTGAGAGAGATCCGTTTAAAGAGATTTATATTTTTTGCGATTTTTATGATTTAAAAAAAAAAAAAACAATTTCGAAATGAACAAAGATGTATGTAATCGTGCGAAGAATATGAATAATGCTAATTAGTAAGTTATAATTGCAGATTATTAAAAAGATCAGTAATATTTTTTTTTGTTCATATATTAATATAATCATTATCTTGTAAAAATATATAAAAACAATTCACAAAAGCTTAAAGAAAAAACAGAATATTATATAATAATACTTCTTTTGATTATTATTTTTTTTTTTTTCTTTTTTTGTCTTATTAAAACATTCTACTGTAATAATCTCTATTGTTCTAGACAGGTTTTATATTTCTACATATTATATATCGATAATATGTTTATATGCTATCGTTGAGATATTCCTATATGATATATTTCAATAGTTTCGTTAAAATTTTGGAATTGTATGCATGATTAAGAAAAAATTTGTTTTGTTTATTTGAAAATTGAAGCATACCTTTGTATATACTTTCGTTAACAAAAATTAATCATTTACAATAATTGTCTACAAGTCCTGTAAATCAGTATGATTAACACGCGTTTGTATCTCTTTCATACTTTATACAATCACAATTATATTTTTTCACTCTCACATTTCCTTTCTTTTCCAACGAGTTTTCTTTCTTTCCATAATAAAATTTCCTATATAATTAATAAGAATATTATAAATAAGATTTTGACAAATTTATTTAATATTTAATATTAAAAAAATATATCTTATAAGGCTTTTGATATATTTGCAAAAAGTATCATTACTATACTTACAATTTATTTAATACTTGGAGTATCAGATGCATTTTTAGGAACGAGACCTAAGCTATCTAACATACCACCAGATGGTACTGATTCTTCAATAGGGTAAGCCGTCATTTTATTACATTTAATCAAATGTGCAGCTATAATAATCAAAAGAAATATTATTACATATAGAATCATTATAATTTATACATTAATTAATTATACTTTTCTATTTACCCAATTGATTGCCGTCATTTGTCGTATAACCACACCGACATTGCATTTTTTTTTCTAATGGTATATTTATAAGCGGTGATGGAACAACTGAACTGGTCTTTGGCCTTTCGTTATGAATTTGTTGTAAATGTTCTTTAAATGCACGCCAACAACACGTTACGTAACGACACTGTTGACATCTTTGCTCTCCGCTGCAGTTAGAAATGAATCATTTGTTAGAAAAATATTTTTCCTTATTTTTAAACTTGTTTTTGTTAAGGCTGTTCATTATCCTTAGTTTTTTTTTTTTTTTTTTATGATTACGCCATCAATGAAAACATGTACGCGTAATTCTTGATCGATTTTCACGAACAAGATATCAATTTTCAAGACGAAGATTTTATCTATCGCGTATCGGTTTCGAATTTTTGAAAAAGGTTTTTATTTTTTTTTTTTTTCGATAGAAAAAAAATCGCGTTAAAAAATAATATTTTTCTGAGAATAATTTATGCATAAATGAAAATCTTTTTTAAAAATTTGAAACGCGATAAATTATTAAACCTTCGTCTTTAAAATACAAAACCTTGTACATCAAAATTGACCAGGAATTATTTTTGTTCTCATTGATTTTTTGTCAAGTAAAAGTTTCGTACTGTGACGTTCCTCGAAATTTGGGGCGAAAGAGAAGGAGCTCGTATAATAATCGTTAATAATTTTCATATATATACGCTTAAATGATGCACATTTTATGTCCGTAAAGTAGTGTATTAAAAATGAAATGATATATTCTTACGGATAATGATCCTGTTCGTCAATGTCTTCTTCGCATTCTTGACACGGTAAGTGACTTGTAGAAGCATTTACTAAAATTGGTCCTGTACTCCATTTTTTGACATATTCATCTTTTGGTAATTCAGCGACTGGACTTTCTACGTCAAATCGTCTTATCAGAGGTCGCTGTTTCGGTATCATTATTTCGTTTTCCTTTGTAGAATATGATATAACTTCTACAAGAAATTTTTTTAACAACCATTATTAGAGACATATGGTACGTAAACATGCAAATATACATGCAAAAAAAAAAAAAGAAAAAAAAAAAAAAAATAGCTGTAATTATATATAATGAGCTTACTTGAATTGGTAACAGAGTCATGTAATTCTCTTTGATGAATTTTCAATGAACTTTTTTGATTAAACCATAAACAACATCTTGGACACTTATTTCCACGGCCTTGTTCTCTCCTTACAATGTGTCTTTGCATATGGAGAAAGAATGAATGTATACTAGACGCATTCGTTTGTCCTTCGACAATAAATTCTATAATCTATTAAATACATTACTTTGTAATATTTATTTGAAATATTTATATGCAATCGGGTTGATCGAAATTTATATTTGCATTCACCTTTAAACAATAAGGACATTGTAAACCTTCACCCTTCTCATGAACTTGATAATAATGATCTATGACATCTTTGTGACTAGATGTTCGATAACCACAGTTATCGCATTGATACGGCATTTCAGAAGGACAATGCATCGCCGTTAAATGATTAATCAATAAATTGCTATTTCCTGGAACATTTATAAAGAGATAACACGTATATAAATTTGATGTTAATATCTCATTGTTGAAAATTTTATATTGTTAAAACAATAAAGCTCACCAAATTTTTGTTCACATATGGCACAAACAACCATGTCACCGTCAGAATTACCAAATGTACTATGAGCTTCTGAAATATGTGTAACTACTTGATGTGTAGAAGAAAAAGCTGTACAACAATAACGGCATACAGGAAATTCTGATTGATCAGGGACTTGGGGTGGCACATGACTGATCATATGTTCCATTATTTCAGTATTAGACCGCATTACAGCAGTGCAAAGGAAGCACTAAATTATGTATCATAATAAAGCTATAATATATTGGTCAAATATGTTTCATTAAGATATAATTTATTAATATCAATTAATAAATTACCTTAAAATATAACGAAGATTTATTCTCTTTTAACAATAAACTTTTATCACCATCCATCGTCGCATAATAACATTTTTGAAGTTGTATTTGTTCAGTTTTATTTTCTCTTTCTTTTTCCTTAATAATTTTCGTATCAGAAGTATTTTTCTTTACTTCTGGCTCTGGACTAGGTCGTGTAGATAGAACTCTTTTCCTTCCTCTTTTTGGACCAGGTTTTATTAAATGAGATTCTGATTGTTTGATATTTTGAACTATTATTTCAGGATTTGTCTGTGGCTGATCTTTCGACATTATCATGGGGGTTAACGGAGGAGGATTTGTTTTTGAATAAGACCAATCTTGAAATGGATTAGCTGCAATTTTTGCAAGACGTTCTAACATGCAATCACCTAAAATAATAAAATGCGTAATTATTTATACGTTATATTAACATAAAATATTTGTCCTCATATCTAACTTACTAGAATCTATTTTCGTTTGTTCAGATATATGAAGGATAATATTGTCAAATGCACGTGCCGCAGTAGCACCATACATTTCTCTCCAAACAAGTTCATCCAAAAATTGTTGTATCATTTGTCTACTAAGTAAACTCAATGTATTTTGAAACATTCTTGGAACTATTTTTCGTAAATATTCCATTACGTGATAATTGCTCATGAAATTTCTAGGATTTTGATCGCAAAATGCTGACTGCGTTACATTAGCAAAACCAAGCTCTTGCAGAGTACTTTTGTCAACCGTAAAGTCAGTCATAATTTTAGAATCCGTATGAACCCAGTCTTTCAATGGATGAAGGATATTATTAAATCTTCGCTTGTAAGACCTTTCTCCATCTTGTACCGGATCACAAGCACGTAATCTTAAATCTAACGTTGCCATATCCAAAACGCCAAGAACTTCAACTTTTACCTATAAAAAAAAAAAAAAAAAAAAAAAAAAAAACAAGAAAAAAAATATCAAACAATATTTTCACTGTGGAGATTTCTATATGACGGTTGATAAAAAATAAAAAGAAAATGATATTTTTACCTGACGTAAATTGCCATCTTGCGAAGTGGTACCTAAACTGATAACACCAACTTGTATCATAGAATTTTTTCCACCCATTCTTCGACTTTTATCCCATATAGCAGCTGTACACGCACTACGTAAATTCGTATAAAAGTTTTTTACGTATATATTTGAAACTTTAACCCAAGAAACTACATTTTGTACATTGGTTTGACATGCCCAATGATAAATAAGTTTTAAAAGTACAGTAGGAGTATATGGTGCTCCTTGGAAAATTGAACCAGAAAAGATAGAGATAAAGCGATCTGGGCAACAATTAGAGATCCAAACGTATCCTCCGGAATATGGGAATGTACCTTGATCGCTGTACATTCCTAGTTTAAGTTTTACTCTTTGATAAGTTGTGCTATGCAATATGCAATATTGTTCCGATCTAACTAGACCTTGTTGGATTAACCATTCAGCGAATTTTGTAGGAGAATACATAAGTACACCTTTTACTTTGATATCTGTGAAAATTTTTATTAGTGTTAAATCTCGCACCTGAACGTAAATATTGTCATATATAATACCTAGCTCTGATCTTTCCTTTAACGCTACTTGTGGTATTATTTCTTTTGTACGAAGATTTGGTCTTGCCACAACAACTAACGAAGGAAAAGTTCTACCTCCGTTCATTTTATTAAACGTAATTTCTCTACCATCGGGAAGATTCTTTTTTGATTCATCGATTTGCTCACAAGCTATAACATATCTCATGATACATCTATTGTTCATATAACAAATAAATTGATCAATTAAGAATATATTTATTTTTACCTGTATTTTTTATTCCAACTGATATGCCACCTATACTAGTCTGTTCTGTAGGTTTAGATCTTAATGTCGTTTGATTTCCTTGAGATTTGTTCACGGTTTTTATTCTTAGATTTGTAACACCTTGTGGAGTAGTAGTAGCTACGATAATTATATTGGTTTTGGAAATATATAAAGAAAAAACTTTGTACATATAAACTCACTTTATGATTCTTGCTTGAAATTACTCACTTGAAGTAACAACATGAGTTGTAGTGTTAGATTTAGGTCGACCACGAGCAGGAAGAGGTGCAGGCTGTAATGGAAGAAAATAAAAAAATAAATACATAAATAAATAAAATAATGAAACACGAGATGTTTATATTTTAGCAATATACCTCCTCTATGATATCAGGTTGTTGCTGTACTTGTAGAACTTTCGTTCGACGTCCTGATCTAGTATATTTATACTAGAAAAATTATATCAGAAAAATATTAATCCCATTAAATTCCATTTCTACAGGGAGAAATAGATAATTCAAATTGTCTTACATTTTCTGATTGAGACTGTGCTGACACAGATGTTGGTGAAGCTGTTGTTGTTGTTGTATTGCCTATAACAAAACTTTTTAGGTTGATTATAAATGAATCATGCTTCTTATATAAATTGCTACCTTGTTGTTGATTAACAGATCCTAGAATAACTCCAACTCTTGGATCCACAACAAGTTGTATATTCCCTTGGGTTCCATTCGTATTATTTACCATATTAAGTTTTATTTGCTGGCTTTTATTCTGATTCTTTAAAACACACACACACACACACACACATATATATATATATACTCATCATAAATTTTATTTAATTAAACATTAATATTACATTATACTTACAACATTTAACAAAGGTTGTGTATTCTTTACAATTGGTTGGGACGTATTAGGAGGACTGAATGAATCGAAATATACAAATGAGAACTTACAAAAGAATGAAAATAATATATTCAGATTCTATCGATTAATGATATTAAATACATACAGTGTATACTGATATCCATTGACAGTTCCAGACTGACATATCATTTTTCCACCATGATCCATAACTAATTGTTCCAGTGTAGTTGCAACCTTATAAATATTTAACTCATTAGATTTATTATTACAGAAATATTTTTCAAATTATGATGATATTTCAGATATATATATATATATTATACCTTATTGCAGTCTTCTTGTAATTTTTCTCTTTGTTTTAATTGAGATTCACTGAGTGGTTCTTCTATACATTCCAAGTTCAAAGTCATATGAAGCGGTCTATTACTTGTAATTGATCGTGAAACTGTACGTGACTTCGGCATCTTGGAATTACTTATAATATCTTTAATTAATTTTAATCTCATGATAATATATAACAATTAAAATTAAATATACACTCATATATATACATTCATATATAAACATATATATACATATATATATACATATATATATATGTATATATATATGTATATATATAGATATAAAATATACTCACGATTTTTTTCACGTCAACATAAATCCATGAAGTTTTAAATCACTCAAGTTCCAAGCTCCCTCCAAGTTACTTCGAAAATGCTACTGTCTGTCTCAAAAAGAAGCGGCCCTTTTGGCGTCTGTGACACCGTAAAGATCCATAATTATGCAATTAGGAAACAAAAGCTTGTTTATATGCTCGTCTCGATAGCACTTTAGGCTTTTCACAGTTTATTTATTTATTTTTTTTTTTATTTTATTTTATTTATTTATTTATTTATTTTTTTTTTCTCGAAAGTAGAATTAAACTTAAATATTTCTTACGGAGTCAATTGATGTTAATTCCATTGAGAACAAACGAGAAACGCGCAACAGTCTTTTCAATAGGAGCTCTTCGTTAACTGTTAACTAAGATGGCGTCATCTGGTATGTTGATTTTGTTCACTACATATTAAATGTTTTATTTTTTAAAAATTATTTGTAAATATTATTTGTAAAAAATTATTGAACAATATTATTTGTCATAATGAATTTCACTGGTACAAGCATCGAGTAGTATTAATTTACAATCGTGTACGTTTAAAACGAAGAAAATATGATATTGTCATTTACGGAAGTTTGAATGTGGCGCCTTCTGTTGCCATTCGGAAAAAATAGAAAAAGAGATATCCCTATTTGAAAGTCGTTTATATATATATATATGTATATATATATATATATGTATATATATATATAGACAAATGTTAAACACAAATTATGCAGGAATGTGCAATATGCAATGTTTCATTTATTTACTTACTTATACTTATTTCCAAGAATGAGAGATAAATTTTCGCATTTTTCTTTTTTTTCTCGTATCATTTTATTTTTAATCCAACGTGAATAGAATTAACGTAAGTGTATTTGATCAAATGCCCAAAAGTATTTTTTTTTTTTTGTTTTTTTTTTATTAGTAAACACAAAAGTACAATGAGAATCATCCTTAATGTATATAAACTTAACACATTTTAATTTTTGTGAATTAAAGCAAATAATAATAAAAAATATATATATATATATATCATGCCGATCGTATTAAAATAATATTCATTTTCTTAATGAACACAAAACTGAATAAAATTAGTGATCGGATATTATACATATAAATGCAAAAATATCGAAGGCAAGTAGAAGTTATTTCACAAAAACATTACAAAATATCTGCTTGTGGAAATTTAATATAACCAAAAATTTTGCATACATGTGCATATATATATATATATATGTACGTGTATGCAAAAATTTCAATTCACTTTAACAACGAAACCATGAGTAGTTCCTATCAGTTCCGAAATGTTAGAATCATTAGTGCCATTAGAAAAAATCGATGTGAAATTATTCGACGATTTAAGAGCAGAAAATTCATTATATCGTTCATTATTTGTTATTACCGACGGTGGCAAAGGTGTGACCATTTTTACCGACCATTCCGAGTGATTGCGTCCACGTTGTTTCGTGACGAATGGCGCTTCGATCGCCGTTGAATTAAAACGCGCTAGGCTCGAGTTAAGTTTAAACGTTCTTTCAATGTTTCCGGCATTACGTTCTGTGTCGTCGTCAGTGATGAATCGTTTTGTACCAATTTTTTCCATCGTGAAGAAGAGTTGACCATTGTGTTCTTTATCATCGTAACGATTCTTATTCCCCATGTCGGCGGTACGAGATACTAGACGTCTTCTAGCACCATGATTGTGAAACCTCACGGTACGATCGCCATTTTGTGAATTATCATTATTTGATTGTACGATCGACGATCCGTTAAAAAGATGATCTTTTTTATCATTTGCAGATGCCAAGGAGTCCGTACAATTTGGTGGTGGTTCTCTGTGAAGGTATGTCACAGGCCAATGTCTAGAATAATAATTTATATCGTTACGATCCCCGTGATCATCACCATTGTAATCGCCATAATGATGATGATGATGATGATGATAGACGTCCTGTTGAATCGGTCGTGGACTTGGTAAATAAGGATAATATTTCTCGCTGCACGGTCTCCATTGATCATCGGACAAACCCACGTAACACCTATCATATTAAATTCATTGTTATTATTATTTTTATTATTACTACTATTGTTAATTTCTTTTACGTGAAACATAATAGGATAAAATTTGCCATAGTTACCATGGATAATGAAATCCTTGAGAGTAACCACAATGATGGTTAGGTTCGCAACAGTAATCCCAACTACCAACTTCTCCTCCTTCCGTTTCGCATGACCAAAAACCAGCTACATCGTTCCTCTCGCATTTCGTATCTCTTTTACATGGGTAACCGTTTACGGTGTAATGTTGAAAGGTTGCAAAATCTGGTGCTAAGAAAATAAAAAGAAAAAGAAAAAAAAACGTACATGTATATATGTATCTAAATACATACATATATGTATATGTACATAACTAAAAATAGTATACAATAAAATTATATTTACATGGTGGGAAAGTATCGTCTTGACCATTTGAGCCATGAAAATTATTATGCTCCATATATCCATAATCACCTTCATAATCGCCATGACCACCATGTGGTCTATAAGGACGATCATCTGTTGGTCTAACTGGAGGATCAGGTCTGTCGGGATCGTATGGTCTTAATCCATGCTGATAAACACTGTTAAATGGTCTAGATATATCATGCCCATAAAATGGTCTAGGATCCGGAATATAAATCCCATCGGATTGATCAGAACCAGGGCCTAAATCAGGTCTAGCTGTTGGCAAAGGTAAAAGTGGTTTTCCATTACCATTTCCTTGATTACCAAAAACATGATTATCATCAATGGAATATCCTGTGATCATGCATTGTGGTTCAAGGTCCTTCCAAGCATAAAGAACGTGATCATCATCGTAGGCATAATCCAATCCTGGTCTTAAATCTCTTATCGATACGTCGCTCAAAAGACAATTTTGATCGCCTCTATCAGCTCGAATTCTATTTTGTAATTCGTATTACGATAAGTATTTGCAATGATATTTCTTTTATTATATTATTTAAACATTAGATAGTAATTACTTGTAACTGAAGGACATGCATGGTATTGGATCTTTTTGTCGCATTTTCGAACACTTTTCACGACATTCAGATTCGGAATCAACGTTTATCGCCAACATCACTGAATACGGTGTCAATCTACACGGTTTGTGATAACTGGAATAGCATACTGTAAACAAGAGAAAACATTTTCTAGATTCTATCTCTGATTGATTTAATTTTTCTTTTTTATTTTCTTTTTTTTTTTTGTCCAAAAGTGAATAACGCAAATTCGTACCATCTTCTCCACGTGGAAATTTGCTTTGTCCACCGATTTTAAATGGTGGAAAGGGATAAGGCTCGCAGCCTCGTCCAAAACTACCTCGTTCGTATATTTCGGCTCCGTCCATGTCGGGCATTGTTGTTGGATTGATTTCTTGGGTTGGCCAATCGCTTAGATGACAATTTGTTGAGGGATTTCGTTGTGGAAGTCCTCCCAATCCGTATCTTATTAATGATCCAAAAAAAGTGTTAATATTATTCATAATATAAATCTATTTATCAATTTATACGTATACCTAAAAGCGAAACTCCGACAGGTGAATTCTCGTGAGACTGTACATTCGACTTGACATTCGCCAAGGTCATCGACAAAAATTGATTTCCTTATAACATCTGATGGCATACCGAAGCCACTTCTTACTCTCCAGAAGCATTCTAAAAGTAAAACAAAAAATGTCCCCCAAAAAGAAAAGGAAAAGGAAACAGAAAATTTCATTACGTTAATAATTTTATCAAATTATTTAACCATCAGGTGGATGACGATTCTGATGATGATGATTCTGATGATGATGATTTTGATAATGATGATGTCGTTGGGCCATCATATCGCAAGTCTTTGGATCGCCGATTATAGCGTAAATATCATAATCACGATTGGGTTCTATGTCCGTGTAAAAATTTAAATCCCTGTAAGAGATCTCAGTGAGTAGACAATTGTCCGTAGGATCGGTAGCCGCGACGTTGTATCTAAAAAGAGAAAAGAAAAAAGAAAAGAAAGAAAGAAAGAAAAAGGAAAGAAAAAAGAAAAGAAAAAGTCCCTCGATCGAGGGATCCGAGATTTTTTCTTCCTTTTTTTTTTTTTTTTATTTTTTCTCACCTGTAGGCCAAAGTCATGCAAAGAAAATTATTCTCGTTCAAACAAAGACTCTCGCATTCCTCCAAGTTCGGTGTTAAATATGTCCTTCTAATAACATCTCTGACAAGTTTAAATCCAGCACCAGCTCTCACGGTACATCGTCGTTCCTTTTTCGTTCCACCATAAAGCTGATCTCTATCAGCCGGTATATAATTGTCACCGTAACCAAAGGCACCCCCGTAATTATAAAATTCACCATAGAAATGATCGTTCTCTTGTGGTCTCGTTGGTTTCACATCGATCGGATTTTTCGGATAATATTTTGGTATATCGAAATGACTGACGTAATTCGTATCGTAACCGTACGAACTACTATAAATTCCATTACCATAAACTTGCCAATCCTTTGGATCTTTTCGACGGTCCGACGAATATGGTCCGATCTCGTTCGTTCCTATAAATGATTAATACTTTAATCTTTTCTTTTCTTTTCTTTTCTTTTCTTTTTTTTTTTCTTTCTTCAAATATTTTTCATACATTCTTTTTTTTCAATCCCCAAACGTGACAATAAACATTTCGTCGATTGGTAATTTTTTGTTTTCCATTTAAAAATGAACACTTACTTTTCCTTTTCTTGTTTAATTTTTAATTTTTCTATAAAGTATCATAATCGAGAAACATTTGTATAGTTAATTGTAATTATAAAAAAAAAAGTGCATTACTTACCTATGTCATTATAAGGGCCATTATAATCGACTCTTCTGTCGGGATATTTCGGAAGATAAGGTCTATCAATTGGACCATGATACATTGGCCTTGGAAATAATGGTCTCCCATAAGAATAACCATTGCCATTGAAATTGTCGATTGGTCTTCCATGGGGAGAATGAGTTTGTTGAAAAAAGGGATCACCGTGCGTCTCGTAGGGACCACCATAAACCTGTGATCTAATATCTATCTGTGGTCTAGGTAAATCTATCGGTCTTGCTGGATCAGGTTTTTGATAGATTGGTCTTTGATCATGATGAATGATGGGTCTTGGTATATCACTGGAAGGTCTTCGATCAGGGACATACGTATGTCCTGATCCAGAAGGATAAGGCCCGGGCCAAGATGACTGAGATATTGTATCACGAAGACAATCAGGATCTTTTTCATAATAATCACATTGCGGATCTGCTTGAAAATCTCGATGAATGTTTAAACGCGAATAAGGTACTGACGTCATCTCGCACATACCACGTGATCCAGGACCCATTCGTCTGCGATCAATCCAGAAACATTTATTATAATTTCGATCTATATATTAATATATTAAAAAGATATATTTTGTATATAGTCTATACATACACACATACATATATCCATATATATATATATATATATATGTGTGTGTGTGTGTAAATATCTACAAGTAATATATACAATATATTTTTAATTTAACAAAGGTGTATATATATATATCTATGCTAAGATAATATATACATACATATGTGTGTGTATGTGCGTTTGTTTATATATATAACAACGTATGCAATTGTTTACGAATCAAGAAGCGTGTCACAGTGCGCTTGCGATGCGATCAAATTATCCATGATGCAATCGGACAGGTCATGCACTTGTGCATATGTATACTCTGTTTTTTTCTTCATTTTTTCTTTTTTTTTCCTTTTTTTCTTTTTTTTTTTCTTTTTTTTTTTTTACGTTTATTCCAAACATTTACGTACAAATACGCGCGCGAGAGAGAGAGATCACCGGACTATGTCAACTCTACGAATAATCGTGTTAAATGTTAAGCGAAGCGAATCTTTCGTTTTATAGCTTTTATTTATTTATTTATTTTTGTTAATTACCTGTAATTGAAGCCTTCGCAAACGAAATATTTTTCGTAATCACAGGCACGATGACACTCATCTAATCTCTGACACTCGACCGCTCTTCTTACATAAACTTGCACCGTTTTTTTGCCAGTTAAAAGTCTTCGGTAACACGCTGCATCAAATTAATTGATTGATTGATTAATTATTAATTGATTGATTTTATTTAATAAAATAATTAATCAATTAATTATAAACATATAAATAAATCAAATGAACGAATGACGTTCGATGAGGTTGTAGCATCATCGAGAAAAAACTTACGCGAACAATCTTCAACTGCATCCTCTATTAATATTACAGAACCTTGAACGGAAGTTCGAATGAATAAAATTAACACAAAAATTGATAATCGTTCTTTGCCACTTAAATTCATTTTTTATATATATATATGTATATATATATATATATTTTTTTTTTTTTAATTAAATAATTTATCGATCTCAAATTAAGCGAGAAGCGAACAATTTTTTAATAGGATTCATTTTGAAATGAATTATTAATATCGATCACTTTTTATATTATCTCATAAAATTCCATATATCGCGAACATAATTTTTTTTTTTTTTTATTTTGAAATTCTTTTTTAATTTCTTTTCCTTTTTTTATATACATGTATATATATATATATACATATACATATACGTTTGAGTAAATACTATTGGCACTTCGATATCGTCGTTTCGATCATTTCTTTTCTTTTTAGAAACGAGAAGCGGCGCGAATAGAAAATCGTACAAAAAGTAACGGAGAAATTACGAGCTCGCATCGTTTTATAGAAAAGTGAACGTTTCCGTGGGAATAATAGTGGGAGGAACTACACCGTAAATATTGGGGGAGGGGTTTTGGTGTTACATGATCATTAATGACTCTACTTACTATTATTATTTTTCTTTCCGTCCTTCTCCTTTTTTCTTTTTCTTTCTTTCTTTTTTTTTTTTTTTTTTTCTTTTTTCGTCCTTTCTTACTAACTACATATCGCACGTGCGCAATTGATCGGCAAACTTTGTCTTCGCCGAAAAATCTAATTTCCATTGGCTTTCACGATGGTCAATAATTTTTAATGGCAATCAAAAATTTATTTCGATTAATTACGAAGAAGAAAAAAGAATAGACATATTAACAAATATATTAAAAAAAGAAAAAAGAAATCTTTTGAATATCATTGAAAATGTTTTGTCTTTCTGTTTCTTCTTTTTTTTTTTTTCTTTTTTTATTTTTTCGTCATCATTAATCTCATGTCGGACTTGTTGGTTAATGATTTTTGTAAGAAAGAAAGAGAGAAAAAAAAAAGGCAAAAGATTCGATTAAGAAATGAATAAAACGATACGTTTTATCTTTTCTTTTTCTTTTTTTTTTCTTTTTCCGTTTTCGTTACCTTCCCGCTTAAATCTTATGTCGGTGAATAATTTTTCATATATATATTAAGAGAAATGACGTCAATTTAGAAGGGACGGAATCGTGTGTGTCCTCGATGATTTGTCAAGGTCACTCTACACTAGCACAATTATTTCAGCCAGGTCGTGTTCGTCCATTATCGAGCTCGATGAATTTAACAAATTCGTATTTCCGCTATTTAAAATCCGCGCCTCTTATTTACACCATTAATAAAAAAGAAAGAAAGAGAGAGAGAGAGAGAGAGAGAGAGAGAGAGAGAGAGAGAGAACGCTACGACATCTTATGTGACTCTCTTCGAATTTGTTCTCTTCCGTTTTTGATAGCTGATCTTTTTAGATCTCGTTTAAAATAATGTCCGTTAAATTTCTAGATGGTGCATCTGTTTCTCGTGTAATCGTGTCATGGCGAATCAGGAATGCACGTTGCACAAGGGAGAAAAATAAATGGCGAGACTTTACAGGACGTTCGACTTCCGGCTCGCGTGATCCATCACCATGAGACGCTCTTACTTTCGAGTGTCCCCTTATTTCTCGTTGCGCTTCGAATTAATTGTTTCGAATTCTTCGTTTCGTTCTATCGAAAAATATTCGATTAAATCAAATCTCGATATACTATATCGACTTTTTTTTTTGTTTTTATGAAAATTTATTTAATCCTTTAACAATGTAATTAATGTTTCTTCACATTTTTACGATCTTTTTTCCTTTTTCTTTATTTTATTTTCCTCATAGGTTTCTTTTTTTTTCATTTCTTTTTTTTTTTTTTTTTTTTTTTTTTTTTTTTTTTTTTTTTTTTTTTTTTTTTCATTAGATCCAATAAGCTTGATTCGATATGATCTACAGATCGAAGGATCTATTAAATGCTTGGGAAGTGGGAACGAGTTAATATTTTTCTTTTTTTAGATATCTATTTAATTTTTTTACGATGCGATCTATGAGATCGAAAGATCTTAGAAAGATTTAGAAAGATCGATGTAATTGGTAAACAATTAATTTTCTCTTTTCTACGTTATCTCATTTATTTATTTTTATATTTATTTTTATTAAATTCGATAAGTCCTTATGATACGATCTATAGATCGAAAGATTTACTAAAATAAGCAATTGATAAGGGAGAATTAAATTTATTTTTATTAGATTGAGCTTTTGATAAATTTTCGATATGATCTATAGATCTATATATTGAAATGCATATATATTTCGATACAAAAAAAAAGAAAAAAAAAAAAAAAGAAAAACGAAATGCATTTGTTAGTTTATTTCCTTTTTTCTTTCTTTCTTTCTTTCTTTCTTTTTTTTTTTTTTTTCTATCTCTTCCTACGACGTCGGCGACGATTATAAAATATGATTTGTACGTAGACTTTTTGCATGATGTAATAAAAAGTAAATTGTCGTTACGATAAGACTCCGTGCACCGGAAAACAATGAATGAACACCGGCTTAATTGACATAACGCTTAAAATCTATGTCATTGCCGTTAAGCTGAAACTATTCACGTTGAGATGATTAACCAATGAACGCTTTTTGATAAATGTGGAATGATTTATTTCGCTGATCTCACGTCGATTCGCGAAGAAGTGACGTGAATGTTGCACGTTATTGTTAAATTATGAATAGCATGAGAATTTCTATTAATGTGACCTTACGTTCTTTTTTTCTTTTTTCTTTTTTATTCTTTTTTTTCATTCGAGATGAATATCTAAAAATTCGATTAATAATCGAGATAAAGTATATACACATGTGTGTACGTAATAACTAAAACTATTTATTAATAATATTTATGTATTTATATATATATATATATATATATATATATATATATATATGTTATATATGTATTAAGAAAAGAAATAATTATTACTCACACTTATTTTCTTCGTTAATTGGAACATGAAATTTCTTGTTATAATCGTTCATAAAATTTTTATAATCGTTCGTACCCATGGAAACGTCGTCGTTCAAGTTAATGACGAAAGGACGTGTTTGATTACGTCGAAATTGTTGAATTATTCCATTTTGAATAGGTTTCCATCTAACAGGTACTTGATAATTATTTTCATTCGTAGGTTTAACTGTGGTCGTACGATATATCTGATAATTCTTAACGATCATGCCATTATCCTTGTCGGTCTTATAAGAATCCTTTTTGTTATTATCATTCGGAAAATTTGACAAAGTTTTCGTGCATTCCTCGTAAATATTAGTTACTGGTTTCGAATAAATTTCATTTATCGGTTTATTTCCATAATTTTGAAAATCTTTGTTTTGCCAAACGTTATCATAAGCCGGACGATAAATCAATGTCACTGGACGATATACGTCATCCTTTGTGATAATTGGTCTATCAAAATGAAATAAATCTTCGTATCCTTTTTCGAAATAAATTTTCTCACCAAAATTGTTACCCAATAATTGTGGCTTTTTATCAGTCGTTAATTTAGATTCATTGTTTATACCAAAAGTTGGATATTTTTGATCGTTAATTGGAATTTTCGGTCTTGAACCATAATTCTTGTTTCTAATGATGTCTATGATACGTTGTTCGTCATCGAATGATGATAAATACGATTGTTGACTCGTATTTTGTCTTTTCCCATTATTTTCAGATCTTTAAATAAACAAATGTATGTATATATATATGTTATATTCAAAAATGTAAGACAGTCTATTTTTTATAATAATTCTTTATATTAAAAAAAAAAAAAAAAAAAAAAAAAACAAAAAATAATATTTTGTTTAATGTAATCAAATTTTATCTAATATAATGAGATATAAATACTATAATTTATATAAGATTTAAATTTTATATAAGAGATAAATACTATATAATTTTTTCATACCTTATCTAATGATAGTCTGATAAAAATCAATAAATAAATTTTTCCATTTGAATTATTACCTATTAGGTTGATAAATATTTGGCAAAAATGATCCAAAGAGACCACCAGAAAATCTAGTATTCGTTCTTGTATTATTCATCGATTTTTGATTTCCGCTATTTCCAGTTTTATAAAGTCGATCAGGTTCACAATTTGGTAAACGTTCTGTACGCAAATAAACATCGTAATCCGAATTCGTTTGCAGATCTTCTGGACTTGGCATTTTTGAACTTAATTCACAACTTGTGTTTCCTTTTGGGCTAATTCTGTGAACCAAGAAAGAAAAGAAAAAAAGATATAATAAATAATAAATAATAATAATAATAATAATAATAATAATAATATCGAACTTTTCTAATGAAATTTTATTCAACGATTAGATTCGACGTTTTTAAGACACTTTTCATATATTAAAAAAAAAAAAAAAAATAAAAAAAAAGAAGAAAAGAACAAAAAATTCAGGATAAAATAAAATTCATGCCGAATAGTTGATGAACTTACCCGTAGCTAAACGCAACGCAAGAACTTCGTCTTTTCGAACATTCCTCTTCGCAATCAGAAATACTGTTCACTTTAATAGTAAAGAAAATATCTTTATCTGGTAATTTCGTGCCAATGGATACTCTGGTATAACAATCTAAAGATAAACAAAAATGCATAGACGTACAAACGTAGAGATAATTAATTTTTTCTTTTTTCTTTTTCTTTTTTTTTTTTTCCTTTTTTTTTTTCTTTTTCAGAGATAAATTTTTCTCTTTCGTTCGATCACTCACCGTTAGCCACGATCACCAATTGATTGTCGATCGTAAGATCCTGAAGTTTGGACGTACATATTGATCCAAAAAATTGTAATGCAATTAACAAAAATTCACGTTCGATCCTTCTCCCTTGTCCCAACATTTTTTTAACGGAGAGAAATACTGTCCGTTGATATCTTCGTAAAAGGATATTATTATTCGATCCTGTATACCAACGAATTTACCTAAATTTATTATCCAGACGATTTATCCGTAACGCGATCTACAAAGACGTTTTAAATTTGATCGATAATTACGATCTTCTCTTTTTTTTTTTTTTTTTTTTTTTTTTTTACAATAAAAATCAACGTTTAATAATATATATGATAAAGTGATCGATAAATTTTTTTGATTTCTTTCTTTTTAATCTTCTACATTTTACGTTCCAATCATTTTCATAATTATTCGGGAAATAATTTTCAAATTATCGTATTATTCGAACGCGCAAATATTGTTGAATCAAGACCTATAATAAATTCAATACTTTTTTCTTTTTTCTTTTTTCTAAATTTCACAGTCAAATCACTTTCACGTAATTATCACCTCTTCGTACGTAAAAAAAAAAAAAAAAAAAAAAAAGAAGAAGAAGAAAAGAAATTAATTGGATCAAAATCGACGTTTTAAAGAAAAAGGGGAAAGTATCACGACGGAAAAGTAAATTCAATAATTCTTTTCTTTTTTTTTTTTCTTCTTCTTCTTCTTTTCTTTTCTTTCTTTTCCTTTTTTTTTTTTTTCACTCGTTCGTAATTATTATAAAAAAGAACGTTTAAATAGGGAATAATTTACAATTAATTAAATAAAAAATTTGAACGTACAAATCTAAAAGTAGAATTGAAAACTATGACCAGTAGAATCGATCGATCTGCTTCGGGAGCAAAGAACTAAATAAGACGATACGATCGAATAGAGAATTCGTCACCTTTGCCGCAAACTCCTCTCTCTCTCTCTCTCTCTCTCTCTCTTTCTCTTTCTCTTACTTTCTCTCTCTCTCTCTCTCTTTCTATCTAATACAACACGTTCACCGAGGATGACGAGGTAGCTTAATTAACGGGTCCGCCGTAATTATCATCGCCTCACCGCGGTTCATTATACTTTCGTGAATAAAACAGAACTAAACTCGTGCCTCTTACGATTGACTCACTACTGAGAGGATCGTCTAACTGTATCATTGTCTTATAGAAGAAGGAGCAACACTCAAGACTGTGTATTATTCTTCCTATTCTTCTTCTTCTTCTTCTTCTTCTTTTTCTTCTTCTTCTTCTTCTTCTTCTTCTGTGTGCATTTGCACGCTTAAAGGAACTCGAGTATATAGATACCTAGATATACAGGGTGTTCGAAAAGATTTGACCTATATTTCATAAAAGACTATCAAAAGGATCCCATATATAAAACTTTCTAATAGGAAACAATGATGTTAGTTGAAAGTGGAGGGGAGGTAACTCTTTCTGTTGAAAAAAGATATAAAACGGACTACATACTTGGTCTTAATTAAGTTTTAATGCGTTACTTTTTTTCTTTTTTTAATCATTTAATTCAACCGACGAGAGAAGGAAGGATAAATGAATAAAAAAAAAAAAGAAAAAAGAGGAAGTTAAATTCAAAATATAAAATCGAAACTGCTGGATACTTTCTGTATGATCTTGTGCGTCAAATCTTTTAGAACACCATGTATATATATATATATATATATATATATATATAAAATATATATATAAAATATATATATATATACGTGTATAAGAACTCTTTAAGTATACTATTCTTCTTTCAAATCTTTTCTTTCTCTTACGTAGCCACAACAAGTGCTCAACTACGAGCAAGTGCAATCCTATTCTGCAATTCGGAATTTCATTAACTCGTTTGTTCGTTCGTTCATTCGTTCGTTTGTCCAGGATATAGTAATAGTAGTAGTAGTAACTGTTCGAGTCCATAACCATGAATTTTTACGCAAGAAGAACATTAGTTTCTTATTCCTTGGCATATATATACGTATACGTGTGTGCGTTTTTTTTTTTTTCCATACGCATATACATATGTATACATTTTCTAAGCTTTCGAATGTTATAAAATATATATTTCGATCTTTCTACAAAATTGATATATAATATTAATTAACAAAATCGCTTTGATCTATTGTTATATTATTTATAAATTACGATGATGAAAGAAAAAATAAAAAAAAAAAAAAAAAAAAAAAAAAAAAAGAATGTATTGAATGGAGATTAAAAATTTTCTTTATTATTTCGTAAATTATAATCGTCAACGATGAAAACAGATTTTTATTTTTTCATAAAATCTAATAACGCAAAATGATCTCGTTTATTATGACATACAATAATGAAATATATTTTTATTTGTTTCCTAAATTTTATTCGCACAGAATCATTTGTTTCAATTCATAAATTATAATCATAATAATCTTAATTAATTGATCACATAATCATGAAGTACACGATTAAAAAAGAAAAAAAAAAAAAACAAAAAAGAAAAAAAAAAAGAAAAGAAAATAATCATATAATCGTAATATAATCAATAAAAATATTCTACTGAACTATATAAAAATTGTTTATGCAAATTACAAGTTGGATGCAATAACGTGCCATCCATATCCTTCTAATTATCATTTGTCTGACGATTAGTAACTGTAAGATAGATAGCTTAGCCAGAGAGCTAATTTTCTTGTGTCCTGGGCACGTCGAGGTAGGGCATTTTAAGTGGGTTGCACCTTGACGGGTTGCGAAGGATGATGAAAAGGAAAAAAAAAAAAAAAAGAGAAAAAGAAAAAAGAAAAAGAAAAAGAAAAAGAAAAAGGAAAAGGAAAAAAAAGATTACTTACGTAGTACCTCGAAAAAAAAAAAAAAGACAGATTTTTTTTTGAAATTAGTCAATCTCGAGTTCTCTATCGTTAAAGTCCCATTGTACACTTTAAACGTTAGAAAACACTGTCGTCTCGTTTGAAAATTATGCGGTATGTTAATTGATGAGATTCCTCGGCTATTACACGCCAGCTAGAATGCTCTTGCTGTCGTACAATTATCTAAACACTTTCCTTCGCGGAAAAGTAATTATTGTCGATTCTTGTTTGCTTCGATTATCCTTCTTCTCCTTCTTCTTCTACTTCTTCTTTTTCTTCTTCTACTTCTTCTTCTTTTTCTTCTTCTTCTTCTTCTTCTTCTCTCCCCTTGTTTTTATTATTATAATATATCATATAATTTTCTATACGTGCATATATATTTTTTATATATATATTTTTTTTTTATATCGAAAAGGAAATTAATATATAACGTATTAAAGGAGAACAAGGGAAGAAAAAGAAATAAAAAGAGAGAGAGAGAGAGAAAGAGAGAGAGAGAGAATTAGAAATATATATTAAGTTTTAATTAAAAAATAAATCAATGAATTGAAATTAATTTGTTAATTTTTTCTTTCCTTTTTCTTTTTTTTATTATTATTATTATTATTATTATTATTATTATATTATTTTCTATACGAGCGCGTACGCATATAATTTTCTTTTTGTTTTTTTTTATATTGAAAACAAAGTTAATGTATGTGATATATTACAAAAAAAAAAAAAAAAAAAAAAGAAAAAAAAGGAAAAGAAAAATAAATCAATAAAGTGCGATTAATAATATATGATGTATTTTTAGAAAACAAGAAAAGTATAATTAAAAAAGTATTAAATGGCAATTAAAAATAAATGAATAAAATGAAATAAATATATATATATATATATATATATATATACAATACGTATATATGGAGAATCGAACGGTATTTTCAAGAGGAAAAAAAAATGAGAACGTACATATCAACGTATCAGTATTTATGTACGTGTTGATGGCCAAATCTTGACAATCGAATATATTAATGTCATTTACAGCTATTCGCATTGGCGTAAAAACATACGAGAAAAATATAGATTTTTAATTGCAATTGCAATTAAAAAAAAAAAAGATCATTATCAGATTCATAACTTTTTGTTTACGCGTTTTATGTCCTTTCTTTTTTTCTTTTTTTTCTTCCTCCTCCATAAGAATCATAATCCTTCGAAATTTTGTTTTTTTTCTTTCTTCTTCTTTTTTTTTTTTTTTATTGACGTCTATTGATGTCGAGACGATCATAGTTCCTTGAACTCTGAAGCACGCGAGAGAATGACCCTGAGCATTAGATTTTCTACCTAGTCTAACTTGTTTTTCGACGAAGTCAAGTCCTAATAGGCCTAGATGCATAGCAAACGAAGGCTTACATAATTGAAAATGAGATGAAGTTACTAAATGTAGGTAGACAAAGCTGGGACGTCGTTACGGTCCGTGAAACTCGGCCTGTGGAGTGAGAATGACTCATTGTGTGATCATCCTCTCTCTCTCTCTCTCTCTTTCTCTCTCTCTCTCTTTCTAAAATTAACACCAACATCAAAGGGATAGATTGAAAATAATTATAGATATCATATTTTTATAATAAATATATATTCTCTTGTTTTGGTTAGAGGTACAAAATTGTATTTATGATCTAATCGCCTATTGTAGAAAAAAATTTGAGAAAAAAGAGGTGGAAAAAAAGAAGACACAATGAAATTAAATTAATGAAAACTTTTTAAATCCTATAGCGTGTACTTTGTAGAGGCAGTATAATACATACGTTCAAGTATGTATATATATATATATATATATATATTTATATACATATATATATATATATAAATTTTATAGAAAAGTTTTTTATAAAACATATTTAGCCCTTTTTTTTCGACAAGGAAAAAAAAAAAAAGAAGAGAGAAAAATAAAAGAGGAGAAAAAAAAACCATAGAAAACCAAGTAAAAGAAAGCACGATGTGTTTACATTAAAACGTTTTGTTAATATCAATATAATATTACGATAGGAAATAAGTTAGATCGTTGTTATTGGAATACTGTTGTTTCATACTAATAAATAATTATTATTGATATATCTACTATCGAGGCCATTGATTTTGTACGATATGTTGTAGAAATATTGAAAAAAAGGAAAAAAGAAAAAAGAAGAAGAAAAAAAAATATGTCAGTCTAGAATTAAGAACAGTTAATTACGTATTTTCAACGTGTTCATAATGATTTATATGTTTGGCATCGTTATACACTTTAAAATACGTGTTTTTCGTTTCATCATAATGAACTACAATTGACAATCGTGTTGGAATCGTTATTTTTTTTTTTTTCTTTCATTTTTTTCTTTTTTTCCTATCTTTTTCTTTGTTTTCTTTTCATTTTGGTTATACGGATGTAATATTAGCGGCTGTGAATCTATTTAATCGAAGATAATTATTAGATTATCAAACGCGTACGAACAAACATTAATGTTTAATCGTACAATCTACAATCATAATATATTGATTAAAACTAATCAATCGTTACAAGTTTAGTCGTCGACTCTTATAATGATATGAATTTTTTATATACAATAATTAAAGATTAAAGATATGTTATTGTTATCTCGTGGAAGACGGCGACGATCCGCACACATACACACACGCACGCACGCACGCACGCACGCACACAAACACACACAGGCACACACACGCGCGCGCGCATTGTTTTTTTAAATCTTTAAGACATTGTTGCATTGACAACAAGGTATACTTCTTAAAAGACGCATTAAAAAGTAAAAAAAAAAAAAAAGAAAAAAAAAGACAAAAGAAGAAAAGAAAAAGAGTATAAAATAAAAGGCAAGAAAAAAAGAGAGACAGAGAGAAAAAAAAAAAAGAACACTCGTTGATCATGCAATTAGAAAGAGGGGAGAGGATGGATCAACAACAAGTACGAATCTTTTCGTTTATTCCAAGTGCGATGTTTGGATTCTGTGCAATTTCTTCGGAAGGTGTCAATAATATGCCAGAATTATTCAATCCAAAATTGTTCGAATCGGTGATCCTTAACGCGGATGTTATTTCCGTGTTACCAGAAGATAAACTTATCAATCCATTGGCTATTGCCAAAAAAACCTTTTCTATTCCGTCATTATGTATTACAGAAGTTTCGTGATAAGTCGCACCGATTTTGTTCGCATAACATCTACCTTCTTCGGTGTCTACCTCTCGATCATTAAATAGATCTGATTTATTACCGATAACCGTTAATACCATTTGTTCCTCGACGTTTCTCTTCAATTCCGTAACCCAATTTTTAATAGCTGCGAAACTATTATATCGTGTAACATCGAATACCAACATGGCGGCGTTCGCATTACGATAATACATTGGCGCCATTGACTTAAATCTTTCCTCACCTGCTGTATCCCATACCTATAAATAAATTTATATAATTATATTACGAAATAATATAATATAATTTATCGACAGATGTAATGAATACTATATATAATATCATTAATGTATAATATAATTTATAACAAATGATATAATATAATTTATCGATAAAATAAAATGATATCAGATATATTTTCTAACGAACTTTTATCAAATGTTTTTCAATGATTATATACGACGAACGTTCTCGTGCGTTAGGGTCAAAAGATCATTAGGTCGAACTCATAGATATAGTGATAAACGATTTTACAAAATTATAAATTCATCATGTAATTTTATACATACGTGCATACATACATACATGATATATATATATATATATATAAATTATCTTACCTGTAATTTAACTTCGGTATCAGCTATATTTAATTTACAGGTAAAAAAGCTAGCTCCTATAGTTGGATTGATAGGACGATTGACGACATTCTCAACATATCTAACTATAATACTCGTCTTTCCGACACCTGAAAATATATATTTTGTTTTTCCTCATTATATTTTCAATGTTGAACTATGTATGAATTAAGAGAGATCAAAGATGCATTAAACTTTATTCATGTATAGGATTTTAAAATACACAATGCCACGTTATATGGAATACCTTGAAACTTAACCTATAAAAAGGTGATCGAGATAATACGAAAGAATGTTTTTATTAAAAATCAATCGAGATTTATGGGAATATATATTGGGAAAATATTAAATTTAAATACGTAATGACGTGATAATTGTATTTATCCGTGAGCACAAGCGCACATTGACGCTATTAGATTATTATTAAATGATATAAATTGATAACAAAAACATTGAAACGATTTATATTACTATATGTAACTTACCTTGCGAACCCAGAACAACTACTTTGCCTACTATATTTTTCATATTTGACACGATATTACATAATTAAAACGTCATGCAAGGAAACGTCATAAAGTCAGCATCGTTTGAATTTCTTTCACGTCATGTAACTTGTTAATTCTCACAAAAAGTTCGTAGCTGTTTTGACGTTTCATTGAATCCAAGCTTTATAACGACATTGTAGTTCGTAGTACGTCGATAATGCAGGTATATTATCCAATTGGAAAACGATAGTGGCGCCAGCGTGAACTTATAACTAGAAACTCGTCGATTTTAACATTACCGACCGTTCTCGATTATCGTAGTTTTATCGACGATTGAGATTGTTCTTATCGATATATTCGATCGATAATAGAGGGTATTATAAAAAATTATTTCGTACAATTATAAAAAGATAATAGTCGTTTCGTAATTTTGTTCGTACATTTTCTTTTTCTTTTCTAATTCTAATGATAATTTAATTAAATTGGTTAAAATTAATTTTTTAAAAGGAATAAGGGATGAGATGGGGTGGGGAGTTGGAAATGAATGGCAGGGGGGAGAGGAGGGAGGGAAAAAGAAACAACAAAAAGAATTCGAATCGAAAGAACAGCGATCTTAGTAAATACGAGAGTATACTTATATCATACGCCGGATTAAATTGCATTATCGGAAAAGATGGTAGGCAGTCAGCTTACAATAATGTATGTTGCCCTCGAGGCTGAATCGAACACGATCGACGGCTCCGAGTGAAATGAACCGTTTGGAAGGTACTTTCCTGAATTTTTATGCGATCCTATCGAGTTTCTAGCCAATCCGACTTTGTTCCTAACTTTGTTCTAGACTAGTACGTATTGGATTTGAAATTACGAGAAGAGAGAGAGAGAGAGAGAGAGAGAGAGAGAGAGAGAGAGAGAAAGTAAAAAGCAGAAAAAGAAGAATAGTTAATAGTAAGAATCTAACGAGTAGTTCGATGATAATACGTTAGTTTTAGAAATAAAAAACCACAAAGTAAGGATTAATTTATGATATACAATATGATATGATTGATCAATACGAAGCGATAATATTTTGTACATTTTACAGCTTAAGAACATGAGAAAGATTTGATTTAACATAGGACTTTAACGTCGAGAGTATCTGAGAAAAATAAAAGGGAGGAAGAGGAAAGGTGAACGTAAGTGGAACATCCATAGCGTTCAGATAACGGACAGGGCACGAGGGTATAGGGGTGGGAGGGGGAAGCTTGGGAGAGATGGGGTGGCGATGGTGGCGGCGGCGGCGGTGAAAAGGGGAGTGGTTGGTGGCGAAATAGGGGTTGGCAAATGCTAGTGGGAGAAACCGGGCCAGTAATCTCCGCTCTGAGCTCCACTTGTGCGTAATTTATTACGACTTCTCGAGAGAGACAGAGAGAGAGAGAGACAGAGAGAGAGAGAGAGAGAGAGAGACAGAGAGAGAGAGAGAGAGAGAGAGAGTAAGAGTATCGTACAGGGTCGAATTCAGCTTTACTCAGACTCGAATTTAGCCCAGGTTGCGTCTGTGTATATGTATTTATATATGTATTTCACGTATGTACATGTCTCTTCTAGAAATAATTAATTAATCGTGCGTTTCAACGTACTAACGACGCTGCTGACGAGAGTCCGAGCGTGCCAATTTAATTTTATCTCTTTTTATCGAAAGAGAAAGATAAAAGAAAGAAAGAAAGAAAGAAAGAAAGAAAGAAAGAAAGAAAGAAAGAAAGAAAAGAAATGCCAAAGTACGAATTGAATTCTAAAAGGGTAAATGCACGTGAGTGTATGTAATTTTAAAGATTAACGACCGTTCGTATGAATGACGAGAGATCGTAATTTTATTAGGAAATTTTTTAATTTAGTCCAAAAAAGAGAGGAGAAAAAAAAAAGGAAGAAAGAAAAAAGAAAAGAAAGAAAGAGAAAAAAATAAAATGAAAAAAGAAAGAAATCTGCATTATCGATCGAGACGAGGACAAAATTCGAAATTGATTTTTTTCTTTTTTTCTTTTTTTTTTTTTTTTTTTTCATTTAATAATTATAAAAATGTAAATCGAAAAAGAAAGAGAAAGAAAGAGACAGAGAGAGAGAGAGAGAGAAAGAGAGAGATTCTCTTTTCACGTTTGAACTGATGCATCCCTGAGAGAGAATAGTACGTAGCACGTATTATACGAGGGTGAGGGTGATCAACAATGGCGGCACGACCTCAGGAGGCTCCACCGTTCTCCGTTCTCTGTTCCCGACGCCATTTTACGTTGATTACGATGCGGTTAGCTCCTTCCAGCCTCCCTGCAATCGTACATCCCCTTCTCCTCTTCGTCCCTCTCGCTCACCCCACTTCCTACCTCTCACCCCCTCCCCCTCCCACTTCACCCTCGAGCCTCTCACTTCTCTTGGCCCATCTATGGATGTTGCCCTCTCCTTCTGTGGCACCTCCCTTCCTTCCTTCTCCTTCTCCTTCTCCTTCATCTCCTCCTCTTCCTCCAATCTTCTTCTTCGCCATCTCCTTTTCCCTTCTTCGCGCTTATACACACAATCAAGCCGACCAACACGATCCACCTACGTTCGCTAGTTACCGTGCTTATCGGTGTATCACGACGCTCAAGAAGAAACGTGATAGTCGAAGATGCTCGGAACGAAATCAACCCATTGCCTGTCTCTCTTCCTCTCTCTTTCTCTCTCTCTCTCTCTCTCTCTCTCTCTCTCTCTCTCTGTCCCTCTCTCTTTCTCTCTTTCTCCCTCTCTATCTCTATCTTTCTTTCTCTTTTATTGTTATACGCTCGGAGTACCACCCATTCCAATTTGTCTTTCCAATCGACGACTTATCCATTAGACAATGAACTACACATAAATATCAGTTCCATTAAGTATTAAGATATATAACGTGGAAAATTATTTAATGGTAAGAGAGAAATTTATTTCTTTTGATATAAGAAAGAATAATACCAAGTTCGATAATATGAATCAAGTTTTTGGCATGGTATTTGCTTTGTGATAACCTATTCTATCGTAGGATCACTTGAATTAAATGTGTCTGCTAAAGGATGTGCGGAATCATCGATCGTTCGAGAAACGTTAGTGAAGTAGCTGGAGAATTAGTAAATAGAAAGGAAAGTTCTCTCTCTCTCTCTCTCTCTCTCTGTTGAAGAAGACTAGGAAACGTGGTCGAAGGATAGAAAGAGGAGGAGACACTAAGAGGTGGACGTAACGTGACGAACGTCGCCTGAAAGCTCGTCGAGAAGCTCGTTGGAAAGCTCCTTGGCCTGTTCTCTCTCTTTCTCTTTCTCTCTCTCTCTCTCTCTCGTCCTTGATCCCCCCCCCCAGCCTTGTCGTTGGAGTTGATTGTCGCAGATCTTATTATCCCCACTTGTGTTCTAAGGAGGACCAGACTATGGCCGTGCTAGCTCTACTATATTATACTATATATATAATGTGTGTGTATGTATACGTACGTGTGTGTGTGTGTGTGTGTGTGTGTATGAGAAAGAGAGAGAGAGAGAGAAAGAGAGAGAGAAAGAGAAAACTCACGTGCACGTAGTTACTTACTTTGACGAGAAGGAGAAAGATAGAAGGAGGGTGCCAAACACCCTCCCCTACCAGCCTCAGGCTAATCTTGTTAGCGCTAATGACGAACTCTGCCGCGAAATGTGCGCGAGCCAAGTCAGGGACGTAACAATGTTCCGTCACCTTTTTGGTTATCGGACAATGAAATACTCTTCTTTTTTCTTCCTTCTTTCGTTTCTCCCTTTCTTCCCCTCCACCCGCCCGATTCTTTCGTTCTTAATTTTTTTTCATTTCATACTCTCCGCCAAGTAATAGAAACAAATTTCTTGGAAATGATCGATATAAAAAATGAGGCCAATCCTATATATATACAACCATGTATATATAATATACGTGTATATATATATATATATAGGGTATAAAGATTTATTCCAATAGAAGGTATCCCAAAAGTTATCGTAAGTTGTATTGTGAAATTTTGCGGAATAATGGGCACCTTGTATCGAGCAAGAAAGACAATTTTATATATATATGTATAGATAGATAGATAGATAGATAGATAGATAGATAGATAGATAGATAGATAGATAGATAGATAGATGGTAAAATGGGGGAATAGGAGGAGAGAGAGAAAGGGGAAGAGAAAGTTCCAGGCTGCGTGAGATGCTCCGTTAGCCCCGAAAATCCATTAGACCGTAAAACGAGGTAGAATCGTAGAACGCAATGGCGTCTAGAAACAAACGACGGCCGATAGGAGTGAACAAGCAGTGAATCACCCAAGCACTTGTTTACCAAGAGAATCAGGAATTCAGAGATGCCGTTCCACGTCTCCGGAATCCCCAGTCCCCATCGCTTTTCTAGCAGTCCTCTCCTCTCCTATCCTTTTCCCTACCTTCTCCTCCTCTAACTACCATCTCTACCTCCATCTCCACCTCCACCATCACCACCAACACCAATACCAATCTCATGAGATCATCAACGACTGACTCTCACACTGAAACGATTGAAGCAACCCTGTGTTTCCTTTCTTCCTTCATTCCTTGCTTGCCTGCTTGCTTGCTTGCTTGCTTGCTTGCTTGCTTGCTTGCCTTGCCTTGCCTGGTAAGCGAGAAGGAGTGGAAAAGCTGAGGAAGAAGGGGTAAAGATAGGGAAGCAAGGCAGAGGGGGGGGAGGGAGGGCGGAAACGATCGCGTTAGACGGAGAGAAAAAGAGAGATAGAGCTAAGGGGGTATAACGCAGACACGGAAGCGGCACTGGAATCGCTAAATGTAATTCGGTTAAAAGGGTTTTAGCAATACAATGCATATAAACATGAGTGTTCCACCTCCGTGCTTCGTCTACGTTAGCTTCTCACTCTATTTCTCTTTCTCTTCTTACTCTTCCCTTTTTTCTTTCTTTCTTTCTTTCTTTCATTCTTTCTTTCATACTTTCTTTCATTCTCTTTTTCTTTTTATTCTTTTACTTCTTCTTCTAACTTCTTGTCTTAGATTTGCGAGGTCAACGTTCTTTCCTCATTCTTCTTTGTTGTTTCTATCATCGAAAATTATTTTTTATCTCCCTTTTTATTCTTTCAATTTTTTCAATTTTTTTCTTCCTTTACCCCGTCTTATTTTCATCCAATCTTTTCCCTTGTCCGACAGAAGGACCAAAAAGATTTTTAAAGTGATCATTGAATTATATTTCAAAGAATTTCAATCGCGTATTTCTGACGTACGTAAAATACTTTTAAAATCTCTCCGTTGAGAAAATAAAGATCGAATGCACTTACGAAATGCAAACGGTCATTTTTCTGAATCGAATAACGAGTCGTCGTAAAAAGCGAGAAAAAAGGTACGAGAAAGAGAGAGAGAGAGAGAGAGAGGGAGGGAGGGAGGGAAGGAAAGGGAGAGGGAGAGAGAGAAAGAGAAAAAGAATTTAGTGAATCGAATCATTGTGAAATCCGTGGCGAGAGCAGTTGGAGCGTTTTACTCCCGGCGTGATTATTTCCAAGGAAAAATTCAGGATTGTGTCTGGCATTAGATAGAGGACGATTTCCAGAACGAGTCCTGGCACTCGGCCATATCCCACGTTTACGTGGTGGAAAAAGAAAATGGCCGTAAAGCTTCTTTCACGTCGAACGACGTGAGCAGTTTTATCCATAACGATCTTCCATATTAACATAAAACGGCCAAATCTTTCTCTTTGTATTTTTATCAAATCTTATCGTTGCTCGAAATCATTCCACAAAATTGTATTTCTTTCATTGTATTTTTTAATCTCTAAAAAAAAAAAGAAAGAAAAAAAAAAAAGAAAAAAAGGAAAGAGAGAAAAGGAAAAAAAAAGGAGAAAAAAGAAAAAAAAAAGAAAAAAAAGAGAGAAACTTTTTTCTACCATTTGTTCATTACGATAAATAAACAATATATCAAACAATCAATCAATCAATCTATCTATCTATCTATCTATCTATCTAAATATCTATATATTTATTTATATCTTTATTGAGGTGAATCGTGGAACACGAAGGGATGACTATGACATCGAGCTACGCGTTCGTCAAATATGACTTTTCTCCTCTTTTCCATTCCTTCCTTCCTTACTCCCTTCCATCCATCGTTCCTTCGTTCGTTCGTTGACGTTTTCCGAATGAGCGGCTTTTACCGCTCGGTGAACGCGTCATCCAGCCATCCGCGGAATGTCGCGGAATTCGTAACTGGGAATTAGCATGTCATAAATTCTGATAGAGGGGGCGGTCTCGCGAGACTCATGCTCGCCTCTCTCTGTCTCTTTCTCTCTCCCTCTCTTTCTTTCTCTCTCTCTCTCTCTCTCTCTCTCTCTCTCTCCTTCTTTATCTCTATCTCTATCTATCCATCTATCTCACCGTTTATCTCTCTCTCTCTCTCTCTCTCTCTCTCTCTCTCTCTCTCTTTCTCTCTGTCTTTCTCTTTCAAGTACCTTTTCAGCCATTCCGTTTCAGCTTCCACGAAATCTCTGCTTCTGAAAAGAATTTGCTTCCATTGAAAGGGTTAAATTATTTCTATTTGCAAACCATATATCAATCCATCATAAGTCGAAATAAAATATCTTAGATAAAATGATTATTAAAGATGATTAAAACATGATGATAATCATTTTTGTTGTTTATCGTACGCCTGTATATATGCAATCCCATTAAATACATATATACGTAGAAATTGTTGCATAATTTTTTCGGGACTTACGATAAAACAAAGAGAATATATTTAAATTCGATGATAGTAAAGTTATCTTCTTTCCTTGTAATTTTCATAATTTTATTTATAAATTCCATCGTTGCTTTTGAAAAGAAAACATTTCCAACTTAAAGTGACAAGGAACAAAAAAAAAATAATAATCGGGGATAAAATGTTAACGTGATGGCTATCGTACGCCTGCTGGTATGCAACATTTCTTATTAAAATATACGTACGTATAAGTTGTTGCCTATTTTCAGACGTACGTGTATTAAAAAATTAAAAGGATACATAGGTACGTATATGTTTTAATTAACGACATAATGCATTTAATTAATTAGATGCGATAAATTTTGTTGTTTTCTTTTTCTTTTTTTTTTTTCCTTTTTTTCCTCGTAATTTTCATAATTTTATTTAGGAACTTCACGCGATATTACATCGGATATCTGCATCGTATTCACTATTTTATACGATAAACGAATAATATTTACACTCACACACTGTATATGTATCATAAATACACGTTTCCCGTTCGTTTTTTAATTAAATTTTTATTTTTATTATATATATATATATTTTTTTTTTTTGGTTTTGCTTATTTCGCTTTATAATATAAGTGGCGGGGATATTATTGAAATAAAGTTTATACTCGGATAAATGTAATCCTTCGTATATGTGCCCTACGTACATATCATCTACCTCTCTCTCTCCCTTTCTCTCTCTTTCTCTCTCTCTCTCTCTCTCTCTCTCTCTCTCTCTCTCTCTCTCTCTCTCTCTCTTCTTTACACATCTTACAACGACAAATTTTCGTTCCATTAACAATTTCGTAAATAATGTCTATCTTACAAGCCGAACGAACACACAATAAATAATCTCTAAAACAATTGTATTATTTACATAATGATACCTACGTTCGCGAATTTAACGTCCTCATTTCGATTTCTTTTTCTCAAACGATCGTTCATTACGATTTTTAATTTCTATATCAATTTCGTATCTTATCGTAACACTACCCTCGCGAAAAAATCGCAAAAATTAATTTTAGAGTATTAGAAGTTAATCACTTTACAATGTTTAATTATTATTCCATTAAGGATTCAATTTTAATGTTAGATCACGTCGGATTTATTCTCATCCATTCACCTTTTTTTTTACTTTTCCATGATATTTACATCGACCATTTGTTTTATCTTACTTTATTCTTTATTTTACTACTCCTTTTTTTTCTTTTCCCTTCTTCCTTTCTTCCTCTTTCCCATTTCTTTTCTTTTTTTTTCCTCTTTTTCTTTTCTTTTCTTTTCTTTTCTTTTCTTTTCTCTTCTTTTCTTTCTCTTTTTATTCGACGATAATATATAAATCGGTAGAATTATATTTATTTACACGAGACTTTTTTTAATCGTTTTCTCTATTTTAATACTTCGTCGTAAAAAATTGCTCTTCTCTTTCTCTCGTAATTGTTCTTTTTTTTTCTTTTCTTTATTTTTTTTTTGTTTTGTTTTTTTTGTTTCCTATTTCCCCCCTCCCTCACCTCTTTTTTTCTATTCCTTTTTCTCCTTAAAGATAAAGCATTAATCAAATTGTTATTCGCTTGTGCGACACAACAATTAATACAAAGAGAAAAGAAAAAAGAATATATATATATATTACTTTACGAACGATAATATTTATTCGCTCGTTAGTTCCTGAAAATTATATATTATTTTGAAAGAGAAACGATATAAAAAGAAATTTACAGAAAAGAGAGAATGATTACAAATTTAGATAAAACGTATTTTACAATCGAGTCCTTTTTCTTTTTTTTTCTGTTTTTTTTCTTTTTTTTTTTTTTTTTTTTTTTTTTATCCAAATCGAAAAAGATATTTAAACGACGTAAGGCCGATAAAGAGGTTCCTGAAGTTCGGTCGAATTTCTTTGAGTTTCTTGCAAAGTTCCCCTGGGTTCTTCCGGTGTGCACGGTGCTGTTACCGATACGTCACTTCCGGTATTATCTCTTTCGGAATTCTTCGCACTACCGGCATCCTCGAGTTTCCCACTAGCACGTGCCTCCTGTTGTGCTTTCTTACTTCTCTTCCATTTCATTCGTCGATTTTGGAACCAGATCTTCACCTGAAATGAGAGACAAAAACGTTCGTGTGTTGTTTCTTTCTTTCTTTCTCTTTGTTTTGTTTTGTTTTTTTTTTCTTTTCTTTTCTTTTCTTTTTGGATACTCTCGTTTTCTTTTTTTTATTTTTTGCTATTTTTTTATTTACCTTTTTTTTTTCCTCTTTTATTTTACCTCCTAATCGATTTCAATTTAAACGAACGATTTAAGGGATTAAACGAGCTCTTAAGATATAGTTATGCAAAATTATCGTCCCCCCAACCCTTCATCCCCGGCACTTTTTCTTTCCTTTCTTACTTTATACTTTTTTCTTTTTTTTCCTCAGAGAAAGCAAACATAACGCAAACTTTTTATCCTATGCGAATTAATCTTCAGAATTCGGCGATAAATTTTTCTCACGTGTGCGTATCACACTATCTTTGGATGTGTGCGTGCCTGCGTGCGTGCATGCGTGCGTGCGTTTGCTTCAATCAACAATGATAAAGGTTCGAACAATTTTAGATATTCGAAATTTTTTAATTGCTTCGAATACACACACACACACACACCTACGCACGCATGTTCCCGCACATGGAAATTCGTTAGGATGCACGTGACAAAAATCAAGGAATTGGAATAACTCAAAAATCATTATTATTAAAAATTTTGTTCATTTCTTACTTAATAAATAATAGATAAAATTTAAAAAAAATAAATAAAATATATATATATATATATGAATACATACGCATTATTATATATTTATACCTTCAATGAAATAAAAAAGAAATAAATTAATTATTAACATACTATATAAAATAAACAAAATATATTATATGTAGAATATTTTTAATATAAAAAAATATTTGTATGTTATTGTTTGAACATACATATATATATATATATATATATATATATATATATTCTAGAAATCACACATATACATATAATCGACAGACAGGAATATTCAAGACGAGACATCGTAAATCAAGTAGAGCGATAGGATAACACGATTTTATTTTTTCTCGCCCACCCTCTCTACCCTCCCCTTCGCCCTTTGGTAAAATCATAAGAAAGCGATGTAAATCTTTCGGACAACATATCATGCTCCCATGTAGCTTCTTTCGGAGTAACCCCTCCGAGAAAAAGAAAACTCACGAATTTCGTGCTCGTACGAATACGAATGGGAAGGAATTTCACCCTGAAATTTCTACGACTCTTGATTCCGAACGATTTTATTATGAAATACCTACGCGTTTCCTTCCTGTTTTCTTTTTCTCTTCTTTCTTTTTTCTTTTTTCCTTTTATATATAAAATAAAGGTCTTCCGTAAAAATGGAATTATTATTGAAAAAAAAGATAAAGGGTTTTCGATGCCTGTGAACGTACACAAATATGTTTCTTTTATATTAATAAATTAAAATATCATTGATATCGATCATTGGAGATATATATATATATATATATATATATATATATAAATCTTGATCCAAATGAAAATGGTTCTTTATTTTCCATTTTTATTTTTTTATTTTGTATTTCTTTTTTTTTTTTTTTTTGGAACACTGACGAATACCATCTTGATCAATTAAATCAAGATAAATTAATTATCTATTGTATAATTACCGTAACGATCTGTTTTATTAGAAAAAGAAGATAATACTAATAATTGATTATATATATATATATATATATATATATATTTAATTTCAAAAGGACGATTCTCTTTATAAACACATTATATGCTATTACAGAACTTATAATTCCCAATGAAAAATATCAAAATTCTCCCAATTATAATACATGATTTTGTTTCTTATCGAAGTAAAGAAAAAGAAAAAAAAACGATTATATGTATATAGATATACATAGAATATATATTTTTAGAGGAAAAAAAGTGTTGTAAATTAGAGAAGAAGAAGAAGAAGAAGAAGAAGAAGAAAAAGAAGAAGAAGAAGAAAAAGAAATGAAGATTAGAAAGAGTAAGAGATGGGCCGTGTATCAAATAGTTGAAATGAGTTAAACGAAGGAGTAAAGAGAGTGGGGGAGAGGATTGGGTTGTTACGATGGTTATCTATGCCGACGCCGACGCCGACGCTGACGCCGACGACGACGACGACGACGACGACGACGACGACGACGTCGTTCGAAGGTTGGAAGAGAGAAGGTTCGGAAGTGGAGAGAATCGGTAAAATATCGAAACAAATCAGGGACTGAGCCCGGCCCATAACTCAGACTTTCGCGTCTGTTTGCCGAGCGATCCGTCAGAGCTCGTAAGCTTCGGAGTTATGTTTAAGTTGTTGAACTATGTGAGAGAGAGAGAGAGAGAGAGAGAGAGAGAGAGAGAGAGAGAGAGAGAGAGAGAGATTCGCGTGCAGAGGGAGAGTAAGAGCTGGTGTCTCGCGAGTGAGCAGGCTACGTAGGGATTATTCCTAGGATTTCTCTCAAGGGTCCTTTTTCCCATCTCTCTCTCTCTATCTCTATCTCTATCTCTATCTCTATCTATCTATCTCTTTTCTGAACTCTTTCCTCTTTCCTTCTGTTCCTCTTACTTCTCTCTCTCTCTGTCTCTCTCTCTCTCTCCTTCTATTTCTCTTTCTACCTTCTCCTTTCTTTTTTCTTTATTCTTCTCATCTTCCTCCTACTCTTCCTCGTTCTCCTTTACGCGTACATCGTTGCCATCGACGTTGCCACGAACGGGAATATGAAAATATTTTTTCCCCTTTCCTGTATTTATCACCTCAACGTCGCTCCATCTCTTCCATCCTTGGCCGCAAGAACTTCGAAAAGTATTTATCCCTTTTTTGCTTTTACTCAATGGAAATATCAGAAACGATTTGTCAACTTTGGGAATGTAACATATGCGCACGTGCGTGTGTATATGTGTGTGTGTGTGTGTGTGTGTGTGTGTGGAGAAAGAAAAAGAAAAAATGGTAGGTGCGGAGGGCTATAGGGGTAGGGTAGGGGGATCGTTAACAGTATCGATTTGTATAGATCATCGAAATAATCATTGTTTGGATGTTTTTTTGTTAAATATTAATTATATAAATAGAATTTAATTGACGAAAAAACAAGAGAAAGGAAATAATTATCGCGACTATAAATCGTTTTTAATTGACGAGAGAGAGAGAGAGAGAGAGAGAGAGAGAGAGAGAGAGAGAGAGAGAGAGAACGAAAAAAAAAAGGAGAAAAAAGAATTATCGATATCATCGATTAATAAATAATATGAGAATGATAATTTCTGTTAACTATAAATAATATTAATAGAATTTAATCGATCCCCACCCTTGGTATCTTCGTTTTTTGGCCAAGTACTTCGAAAGGAATTATCATGTTCTCTTAGTCAATGGATAAAATCAAAAATGGATATGTCATTGTGGAATTATAATTGAAAAAGGCGGAAAAATAAATGAAAAGAAGGATTGTTAACAACGACGATTTGTAGATAATGCCTGACAGAGATAATTTCGTTAGGTATAGATATATAAATAGAAATAAATAATAGAAATAGAATTTAATTGACGAACAAAAAAGTAAAAAAAAAATGAGAGAAAAGAATAATTGACATCATCGATTTACGAATAATTCGAAAATGACAATTTCTGTCAGATATAAATAATACAAATAGAATATAATTCGCGAAAAGGAAAAAGAGAAAAAAGAATTATTAACACCATTGATTTATAAATAATGCAAATCATATTTTTATTTTCGGCGAAGCGCTTCGAAGAGAAACTATTGATTTAATTTTACACAATGAAAAGCAAAAAAAAAAAACCCACGGAAACGATTTGTCATCGTGGAAATCTAATGGAGAAGAAAAGAAAAGAAAGGAAAAAAGAAATCAAATGAATCGTTAACAACATCGTTTTACAGATAATACAACATCAATAACATGTATTGATGTGCGTAATAAATAATTGATATAAATAGAATTTAATCGGTCGTATCTACGTTTCACGCGCAAGATCGTCGTACCGATATAGTTGTTCCAAAAAAAGAAAGAAAAAAAAAAAAAAAAAATTAAAAATAAACACAACAAAAATAGAAAAAGGAGAAAGTGATAAAAAATGAAAAGGATATGTTAGATCAGTTTTTCCAGGAATATCGAAGACGACTAGTCTACGTTATTTCCACGATGATTCATTGACGTTCGCGTTATATCGTTCAAGATTAAAACAAATAATAAGCATAGCTACGCTTATATGAAACGATCTTAAACATTTGTCCCCTCCTCCCCTCCCATGGACTGGATTTCACGTAATCCAGTCCACCCCCTTTCTCCTATCCATCATACATACATTTTTACTTGTTACAATTAAACTTACCTGAGTTTCGGTCAGCATCAACGACGTCGCTACTTCGAACCTCTTCGGTCTGCTCAGATACTTGTTCTGACGAAATTGCTTTTCCAATTCGAGAAGTTGTTGGGACGTGAATGCTGTCCTAGGTCTTCTCGTTTTACCAAGTAACGCGTGTTGAGCCGCACAACCTTTCGAAGAGAGAAAAAACAAAAGAAATTTGGGGGATAGGTCGTTGAGAATGTAAAAATAAAATAAAAGGAAAAAGAGAAGAACATTTATTTGCGATTAAAAAAAATCTCGATCAGCGATTAGAAATAGTCTTATATATACATATATCGATACATACCGGAGATAAATAATAAGATAGATAAGCTTTTGTGTATTTTTATATCTATTATATTTCATTTCTCGGAACGAGTCGAATTTTAATGAATTCGCGAATTATATTTTTAAAGAATGATGCGCGATATGGACACGATACGAGCACGATATCGGCCCAGATACACGACATATCGAATACGTATCAATCGACCGTTCGATCGTTACGATCAGATGAGTTCAACTCGATGAGTTCATCGTAAAATGAATGATAATTATAAATTCAATTCGTAATATATAATACGAAATTGGTCGTAATCTATGGTATGATCACGATGACCGGACACCATCGATAATTCTCATCGATCGTTACCGGAGCAACGATAATCATTTCATTAGCCAGTACGATCCATTGGAAATCATCGAATGCTAATGCAATTATCGCGAGTGTAAATCCCTATGGATTACGGAGCGATGATTTGGGGTTAGACGTTAGGGTGGAAACGCCACCGCCCCTACAATTAGCTCTACCAACGACTCTTGCTGCTCAGAAACCGTATCCCAGACTTATAGTAATCGAGGAGTGAGAGGGAGGGGGTTGGCAAGAGCGGTGGATGGGGAATAAGGACGAGGAGAAATACATTGGCGTAGAAATATTTATGATCATCTAATATAATTTCTATTATCATAATTAAAACAAAGCAAAAAAAAAATATATATATATGTATGCATGTAAATAATATATATATATATATATGTATATATGTATGTATATTTCCTTTTACTTTTTGTTTTATTCAATACTAAGAAATTAATCTGAACGTATTTTATGAATTACGTTAATGAAATTCAACATTCAAGTGAATATCTTTGAAAGTTCGAAGGGAACAAATTGAAAACGAGTGTGGAAACTACGAGAGCGAAAGAGAAAGAGAGAGAGAGAGAGAGAGAGAGAGAGAGAGAGAGCGAGCAGATTTCTCGTGTCATCCTAATCTCGCGCGATTTGTCAGGAACTTTGCGTCACTGGCTTAAGCACCCCCAAAACTTAACTGGCAAGTGCGTCACCGACTGTCAGTGTTTGTACACATGGCATCGTTTAGGCGAGCGCATTCGGATTAGCGTGTGATTCACTTAACCGTCGAGATATTGCGAGCAGGTACTACCTACATACTATATATATATATATATATATTTATATATATACACACATACATACACACACACACACACACACATATATATAATATATAGATACATATATGTAGGTACGAAAAGGGGAGATACGTTTTGATACGGAGCTTTGCCCAATTTTACGGCCGATAGAAAAATAAACGACACATTCGTCCGTGTGATACGATCGTTCTAATATAAATCCATTCATTCGATCTACGACCTAGAAATTCTCAATCCTAATGATTTTATTCCTAATGCATATTTTATCGATCGATCGAATACCATAATTTTGTTACCCCCCGTCGATCGTTATGTCCACGGGAAATCTCTTAAATCGAATCAAATATATTTTCGCGAGTTTTTCTGTTTTATTTTTTTGTTAGTCGTTTTTCTTTTTTTTTTTTTTTTTTTTTTTTTCTTTTGTTCTCTTATAACAATATCGATCGTTTATGAACGTAAAGGTAATCAAATCTTTGCAAAAATCTCGTCAATCAAATCGAAAGTAATCAAGAAAGAATTTGCTTCTAGGTGAATTTTTTTCTTTTTCTTTTTCTTTTTCTTTTCTTCTTTTTTCTTTTATCTTAGAAAAATTTCAAATGTTTAGATAGAAAATGTAAAATAAATATATGTATATATATATATATATATATATATATATATGTATATATAAAAGGATTCAACACACAAAATGTGAGAACATCAACCAAATGGACCACTCTTTTCATATCCACCAGGACATTTGATGCTCGTTGGTATTTAACATGGTAGCATTTAGCCGAATATTTATCGTCTCGCAAAAAGGGGCGGTTTACCCCCCGTGGTGCGCATATGGCGAACCCAATGATGATTTCCCTTCCCCCTCGTAAATACCATCGAGACGATTATTATTTCGTGCATGTTGCATCCTAGTGCTCTTCTTCTCTCCCCGTTTACTCCTCCTCCTCTTCCTCCTCCACCACCTCTCGTCATGATTTATTTTTATGTCTTTAGTCGACAAATTTCGTTCTCGATAATTCACCGATCTGTGACGTCGATTGGAGTGTCACGGGTACAGAAAAAAAAAAAAAAAAAAAAAAAAGAAAAAAAAAGAAAAAAAAATTATTGGCTCAAATGGAAAAAAGAAGGAAGAAAATAAAAACGATGGAATGAAAACAAAACGAAACTACGAACTCGTGTAAAATCTAAAAATAATAAAATCCTAAATAAAAAAATAGTTCTAATAGATGATCGCTTTACGTACGAGTAATAATATTCATAAGTATGAATTTATAATGAGACTGTATAAGAGAGAGAGAGAGAGAGAGAGAGAGAGAGATCCAAAGAGAAAGAAAGAGAAAGGGAGAGAAAGAAATGGAGAGAGAAATATAGATAAAGATAGAGAATCCCTATTTCGAAAGAGGGGTCGAAAACCAAGTGACATAAGGTCCAGTCACGTTCGTGGGGTGGTAAGCGTTAACTATGACGCTAACTAACTACAAACAGCCGGAGGTAAAATAAATAATCTCGAGTAGAGTAAAACGAGTAAAACGAGTTAAAGATCGTGTCGAGCCAATCCTAGTATTGTAGATATTAAGAAAAGGACCAATGGGCGAGAAAGAGAGAGAGAGAGAGAGAGAAAGAGACACCTTTCTCGGATCTTTTACGTAGATAGGTAAAAGAAAAAGGTAAGTAAGTACCTTACTTAGTTTTCGAGGAGTCGAGCTGAAGTCCTGAGAGAAATAAAAAGATACGAATGGAATAGAGGAAAGGGAAAGGGGAGGGAGACAGAGAAAGAGAGAGAGAGAGAGAGAGAGAGAGAGAGAGAGAGGTAGTATGGTGAGCAAAACCGTGACAGATGTTGGTAAACAAGGAGGGTGGCTTTTATCGAGTGGACAATCACCATTGACGCTCTTATATCTAGAGACCCGAGATGTACAGTGTCGATGTGCAGTGTTCGGTACACGCACAAACATACACGCACAAACATACACGCACACTCATACGCAGGCACGCATACAAGGTGACGACCACGTTCGTTTCGACGCAACCTTTATCATGATAATTTAATTTATTTGGGCATCCATTAGCCGCTTCATGCCGTCTACGACGTCGCCACCGCCGCCGCCGTCGTTGACGCCGCCGTCGTTTGGCACCCCCTAAAATCGTGCGCGATCATCACGGCGGTAAACACCGGCCATTATCTCTACTTAAAGCGACCACCCTCTGTTATATACCTTTTCTCTCTTATATGTATGAATAGGTATGTCTCTACCCTTCGATAGAATTCCAACCCCTCGTAGAAGGAAAAAAAAGAAAAACGTATGAATGTAATATCGTTCTTTCTTTTTCCATTTCTTTTTTCCTTTTTTGTCCTTTTTTTATATATACATATATATATATATAAAATTTCTTTCTCTTTTTCTTCTTCTTTTTTGTTTTTCGTTTTTTCTTTTTTCTTGTGTTTTCTTTTTTTTCTACCTCTTCCTCGAAACTATTCCTCGAAAAGATAAAGAAGAAAAACGTAATATTGCGATTCTTAGCTACAATTAAATCTAATGAATTTTAAGATGAACATGTACAGAAAGAGAGAGAGGGAGGAAGGGAGGGAGGGAGGGAGAGTTAATTGTTCCAATGTGACGCGAAACCTTTTTTGCGAACGACAAATTCTCTCTCTCTCTCTCTCTCTCTCTCTTTCTCTCTTTTTCTCTATCTATCTATCTATCTATCTCTCTTTCTCTTTTCATTACAAAGGAACGAGGAATCGCACCGGGTATCTCTCGGACTAACGAGTAACTACCCTCGTTAACTCCTGCCCGAAGGGTTCGCTTAATTAAAGCTAATTACTCCGATTCCGTTGCCGACGACTAGAGCCACACTTTCCTTTTTATTCCTCATTTCTTTTCGTCCTATCTTTCGATCGGCAAGCGAAAAAGGGATAAAGGGAAAAAGATTATAAAAAAAAAAAAGCAAAGAAAAGAAAAGAAATGAAGAAGAAAAAAGAAAAAGAAAAAGGAACAAGAGAACCAAGCCTTATCACCAAGAAAGAGGAGGAGAGGGGGGAGGTTATTGATAACGATGATCGACGAAAAATCGAGATTCACACTTTAACGTCATTCCCTTTGATCTTTACCTTTGTTCTTTGTATAAAATACAAACGGGATAGATAGACAGATAGATAGAATAACAGAGAAAGAGAGAGAGAGAGAGATAGAGATAGAGATAGAGAATAGAGAAAGAGATAGGTGATAGTCTGGAAGCTACGGTGGTATCCACGTCGGAACCGAAAATGGCCACCCTCTAATGGACAGCAATTACCCAATAGCGAATTGCAAATTGGAATTACCGTCCTAAATCGGCGTGTATACCTCTAACCGAGTAGCAGCGAGTCGGCTTCCGCAGGCAGGAAAAGCGAAGGGGTTGCTAACGACTTGGTTTGAGTCCGTGTGCGCATTCATCCCTCCTCGCACACCCCCACCCGTTCTATCTATCTATTTCTCTCTCTCTCTCTCTCTCTCTCTCTCCTCTCTCTTTCTATTCTCACCCCTTCCGATCTACGAGACGTCCGTCTCTCTCTTACGCCCTCCTATAGCTTCCAACGCGCGTCTGTGGTGCCAGAAGCTCCGCCTGCGATCCCCTAGCCCCTAGCATGTCCCGCCCCCGAATTATCTGCCCCTCAGATACGAACTAAACGAATCTAGCCGAGCGGAGCAACGCTCCG